CGGGGTAAACTCCAACACATGGCGGCTAAGCTGGGGAGCTATGAGCAAGCCCACACCAGCCCGCGGCCTCTCACCACGGGCAACTCCAGAGTAGTAGAGAGTCCAGCCTCTCTCGAGGAGTAAAGTTCCAGAGCCCAAGCTGTGCGTGGAGGTGAGCCCGACTATATCTAGCCGGTACCTCTCGACCTCCTCCACAAGCTTGGGCTTCTTCCCCGCCAGCGAGGTGACATTCCATGTCCCCAGAGCTAGTCTCTGTGTCCAGAGATCGGGTTGTCAGGGCCCCTGCCTTTGGCTGCTGCCCAATCCACAGTGCACCGGCCCCTTACGGATCCTCCTGCAGGTGGTGGGCCCACGGGGGGGCCGTCCCCACGTCGCTCGTTCGGGCTAAGCCCGGCCGGGCCCCGTGAGGGGAGGCCCGGCCACTAGGCGCTCGCATTCGAGTAGATTCATCCTCAATCAAATTAAGGATCAAGTTGCACTTTACATGCACATCATACACTCACAGGACACTTTATTAGGTACACCTATACAGTTGTATGCACCTCGATGCAACACTTCCACTTTAACATCAGTGTTTATGAATCTCAAAATGTTTCAGTTTTTGGTGAAATGGTCATAAATGTATCAATTCAATTCTATGTTTATTATTGAGGTCATAGCTAAAGGTGGTGTTGTACTGGACTACATTGTATTCAGAGGTGTTCCTAATTTTCTGACATATTCATGTATGTAGCTGGGCAGAAAACAAATATAAAGTCACCTCTAAACCTATCATCAAACACTTCCTGAATAATCTTTTTGACCAACCAATTGACCAGTCGACTAACTGACTAACCATTATAAATCTAGACAGTACTTTTGTTTTCAAATGTTTTAATGTTGATAATAATTTGTTGCTAATGTTCACAATTATTAAACAAAAGTCAGAACTAAACCCTAAGATTACAGTCACAACTCAACATACACATATAAAAAAGTAAAGTAAAACTATATTTACATTTTTTTTGTATTCCCAACAAATAATAAAAACTGGAAAAAAAATTCCTGACGATGGCTTTCAGAATTTATGTAAGAAAGTGCTAATATGGAACACTGGTATTGGTATTGGTCAGACTTTAATTACATATAATTTAATCATGTAGCTCCTGATTAACTGTAAGTAATACTCTTTGTGACGCTTCATTATATTTTTATATTATAGCAGGCAAACAAGGGATTGATTGTGACCATTTCATGTCAGTCAGTAGAGCTACTGATGTTCAGGACAGACTCAAGAGCACATTTAAACATCAGTGCATGTTACGTGCTCTAAGTAAGTCCATATAAAGTATTATTTGGTATCAGTATTGAAATTTAGGTATTATATTTAAATATGTGTCAAAGACTAACCTCAGGCTTGTATTGTTACACCTGTAGGATTAAAAGACAGGAGAGATCTTACAGTGGTAATGTAGGTTTTCTACAAACTCATACACACACATTGCTCACACTTGGACACTGCAGCATCAGTGACTCACCAGGAATATCCTCTCCAGCTGGTCCTGGATGTCCTTCATCCCAGGAAAGGCAGCCACTCCTTGGATCATCTCAATGAAAATGCAGCCCACTCCCCTTAAAGACACAACAACACATGATAAATCCCCCATTCAATGCTGGCTCAACTAAAAAAAAAAAAAAAAGAAAAAAAAAAAAAAAGAAACATAATGACCAAAGTATTACTTAAAGTTCATATAATTTAGATTTCCTGCAGAAAAATTCACAGTGCCATGATTACACTCACTGAAAAAGACAAGTTGGTTTGTTCTTTTTATACAGTACATCTAATAGCCTCAGCAAAGCTCAGATGAAAAGTAGTTTGGTGATTATTCTTAATTATTCATTATTCTTTCTATTATTTTTATCCTAAAGGCTGTTTGACTATAAATGTACATGAAATCGGTAAATTTTTCACTTTAACCTGTGAGAGACTGTTACATTGAGAAATATGGAGTCCAGTAGAGGAAGAGAATGAAGAAGATGTCTGTGTGTGTGTCCATGCGTTAACTGTTGTCAGAGCTCAAATGGCTGTTGTTTCCTGACAGATTCACTTTCTGGCTCAGTGCACACTGCAGCTTGGAGCAGACATCCGAGCAATGGAAGGAAAGAGAGGAGGGAGGAGAGTGAGAGAGGGCAAGCAAAGGGGCAAGTGAGAGAGAGAAATGGGCTGCCAGAAATTCATCCCTCACAATTCCTACATTCTTTCCATTTCAACATTCCTGAAGTCTGCTGTGAATCAAAATACTTCATCCATTTCCTCGACACAGCTTTACCCTAAGCATCCATTGTCTCTATTGGAGCCTACAGGCTCTGTTAGCTGAGATATGCAAGTCAGAATAGATGCAGGTCATCTTCAAATCAATACCATGTTTCTTAGTTCTATCAATTCATTGCCATTCCAGTCATACAGTTTATCCCTGATAATGGAAAATGACGTTACTCCCTGACACCAGTGACACTGTAACAAAAAAGACCGTATAACTTTACTAAAGTGGAATTTAAATCTTCACAAAATGTTGGCTATTTGGAGGCTCTGGAAAAAAGCTATACACAAAACAATGACATATTATCAGTTTTAAAGTTGCTATTGAACCTGTTAGCAAGCAGTGGACAATGAACATTTGGGGTGGTGTTTATGTCCAGCTGATTAATGTAAGTCAAGAAAACAATGTACTGAAAGAGCTGCTAACCTCTTGAACTACTGAGTTTATAGGTACCACAATAGGCTAATTGCAGTTCCATCTGATGCAAAAGTTCAAATAAAATGCAAAACAATTAGAAAATATTACTATTTGAAGGCACTGACCACTTCAGCTTCAGTGCACCTTCACACTGACTCTACGGGTCCCTGAACTCTACTGGAGGGATGAACGCCACTCTTAGATATTCCCTCACTTGGTGTTTTGATGATGATGGTGGAGATGCTGTTTATAACACAGCACTCCAAAATCTCCCACAGGTGTTCATCTGGGTTGAGATCTGGTGACTGTGAAGGTGATGGCATGAGATTCACATCAGTTTCATACTCATCGCACCATTCAGTGACCCCTCAAGCCCCATCCGCTTGTTAAGTGGTGATGTAACATTCTGTTTCTGGATCCAAACTTGTTCAGGTCCAAGTTTGTTCTCCTCCTGTCCATATGTCCCAGTGTTAGATCAAAAACTTAATTAATAAAATAAGATAAAAAACTTGACGTTGTCAAACCTCATGGGGATCAAGCAATCAGGGCAATCTTACTCCACGTTTGCTCTCTATTAAATTTAAGGATTCGGCATACAATGTCAGTTCAGTTTAAAAAAAAAGGCAGGAAAAGAGGGGGTGCATTTGAAAAATCAGCATTTGTGAAGATAATATTTAGCCCAAAATCAATAAATTATATAAAAATTGTTCATTTTTATCATCCAAAGAAAAACCAAAGTTCACAGCCTTACAAGAAATATCTGAACACAATCTTGTCAGTGTGCAAGCCAGCCATAAACATTTCCCAGAGGTTAATCACATAAATACAGTCAAAGAATAAATATTCAGTTGTTTCTATGACATTTTTGCTAACAAACGTTACAATGTATATTAAAGCGTCTATGTTCATTGGAGGGGTAAATTTTTTTTAGGAGTTTGAAATGCTTTAGCTGATACTGATTTGATTTGATTTATTCTTTCAAGCATGTAAAGACAGTTGATATGTCAACACACATAATTTTACACATATCCAACAAATGCTAATCCAATTTCAATTTGCTTATACCTAGTACATGCTTGAATGGAGTAGGAAGAAGTCAGACTTATCCAGTCCTACCCCATGACATCATCTTACCATCATTGGTTTGCAAGCAGTATCTCTACATAAATAATTCTCTTCCACACCACACAAGTAATATACTAAAAAAATT